TGGCATTTGTGTTCCAGTCATATGGAAGAGTTCTATTTTAGGGATTTATGTTTTCTAGTACCATTGAAAACAATGTCTTTACCTTGAGACAGTCACTCTCAACATCCGGCTCATTTTCAGCATATCTCTTTCTTCATAAGTGATATACTCATATGATTCAATCAAGCGAGGATTTGGTTTAAAACCCCTTCCACCGTAAACTAACTGCGTACAAAATTGGACTTAGTTAAGATCAAACAAACAAACATTGTCAATCAAACAAATCCATATGCTTTTCATCAAAAAGCCTTTGTCTCCTATGAATCGCCAGTACTTACAATAAATGAGACCACCAGCCCACCACCATTGTAACTCAGCCATCTAATTTTTTTCCTCAATTATCTTAAAATGATTATTTCCTTACGGTTAATGTTCTCAATGTAATGAATTGACATCAAAGGTGTTCTCTAAATCTAAAGAAAAAGGCTCGTTACCGGGTTGTTTCCACCTATTGGACGCAAAGGAGGAAACAAGAAATTTCCTAGACTATATTCCACAAGTTTGTTGTCCTTGGTCAGCCAGTGAGGTTGCAGCACGTGCGGATGTGATCCAATGATCATGTGGACTCCAAGAGACCAAAGGTGCTTTGTTATATGAAGTTGGTAATCGAGCGGTTTCAAAAGCACTTCTCTTCCCCAGTGCATGTATACCACGATGATATCCACGCCAGCCTGTAACAGTTAAGAAAGAACCCAGTTCACGCTGGTTGTATGTGTACTTATTTCTTGTATAATATTTTGGTTTCTTATCTCGGGACTGACTTAAGAATTAAGATGACGATGAAGAGAAGTTTGTAAGCGTTCTTTGTACTCTGATTGAAGGTAAAATTTCAACTTTGAGTCAGCTCGATCGCAATTTAGATTGCAATGTTTATGAAAATCAATAACTCGGCCACGAAATCTTTTTTCTGATTGATTAATAGATATATCTACTGAGAACACCGACTTGCCAAACTTAACCTTTTCCTTCTCTCTAAAATTCATAAAATGATTAAAAACCTAACTAAATAAGGTCTTGAAGCAGAAAAACCCAACGAAGAGTCATTATATTTAATAGTTTCCCATGGTCATCTTTAGTTTCTTTTTACACTTATGAGAATTCAATTTAATATAATATTAATATTAATAACATCATATAGGAATAGTTGAAAGCTTTCGAGTGTAGGTTGAGACTTGAGCTCACGCAACATCAAATGGTAAGTGGGATTTTGCAATGATCAAAACCAAGAAATTATTATTAGTTTATAATCTCTTGTCAAAACTTAAAACCATGAGTTCTCACCTCTTTTATTTTTCTAACATCTCTTGTGGCAATATCATCCCGATAGATAGCAGGACCAGATTTGTACATCCTTCTCATCACAGTACAGTTTGGGAAATCTGGTACATGGTCACAGTATCCAAGAAATCCTATTTTTATTCCTTTTCTTTCCATTATCAAAGGTTCCTAGAAATAATCCACCGAATAAAATATCTGAATTGTAATTGTTTTCTTTTTCCAGGTCTCCTAATTCTAAACAAGTTTATCTCAATTCCTTTGAAGAAAATTAGCGATCATAACAAGTTGATATTTTACCCATAACGGTTACTAATATAACTACATTGTAATCTTGAATTTTTTTCTCGAAACACCTCTCTGGATGTCCTTATAGTTAACAAAGTTTTAGCCACAGGTTTTTGGAGGAAATACAACAGGTGCTTTTGAGAATTTTACTTTCCCTTTCACCCCTTATCTCCCAGAAGTGATTATCATGTAGCTTCTCCCTATAAAATCTATACATTATTCAGCCAACAGGTAATGAGAATAATCGAAATTATCATATTTAAGTTGTTGTATTGATCCGACACCAATTCTCTTGACCTATTTACGAGAAAACGTGCAGTAGCTAGAGAGGAGAATTAGCAATCAGATTTAAGGAGTTAAAAGGTTAAGTAATTAGAGAAATATTTTTTTGGGCCCATTTTGTTGTTGTGTATGTGAAGTCGACACGCTTAAGCTTGTAACATGGTAGTAAATACTTCATTAAAGGGAGAATCATTATTGATATGGAACTACCTGAGATGAATCAAATCTCCCATAAGTAACGCCGAAATATCTTATTCCTTCCTTCTTAAGAATTTCAACGGTGAAATTAGCACCTTCAGTGCCGAAGTCGTTGAAATGATTGTTGGCAACTGTGACAGCATCAAAGCCTGCATAGCTGTGGAACGTCGAAAGTTATTGATGTAAATATCACTCTCAACATAGTATGAATTGAAGACTGCCATGAAAACGTTTGTGTCTAGAATTTACGGGAAGTGGTAAATCGCTGCGTAAATGAAGATTATGAGGTCGCATGTGTGTCTCGCAGGTTTCCTTTTCTGAATACTTTTTCGCTGGAACTCTGCGATTTTAGATGTTACCTTTTGATAATAAGTTAATTTTGAACACAGACGCTCTTAAAACGCAGACTTCAACCAGAAGAAAAGTAAAATACATCAGGGTGTGCTTTACCATTAACTACTCCACTTAGGAATGAGGAAATTGCATAAGGCACAGGAAAACGTGGGTGAAAAATTTTAAATGGCAACTGGTTTGACTTTTATATCTGACTGGTTGAGAGGATGGCGCAAATTTTCTAGACTAGTCAAAGAGTGAAAAAAACTGAGCTAAACAAATACAATCCCAGACCATTTCCTATGCTCAACTGAAAATTGTTCTGAGCTCTCTGTTTACCTCAATGCTGGAGCAGCTTCGGGACTGGAATAAAGAATCGTCAGCCTTCTCTTATCTTTGAACATGTGACGATAAACCTTTTTGTCGACGAAAGGACATTCCAAATTGGCCACGGATATATCAGCATCCTTGATGTATTCTGCCACTTCACTGAAAGAGTCCTCATACGTGTGAAAGTTGTGTTCAGCGTAGTATTTCACGGGACCAGCGAACGAAACATCACCCACAAACAGCAACGTGACGTGCTCTAAGGGTAAACATAGTCAATTATATCCTGGTCTATACAGAAATCATAGTTAGTTCTTTTTTTTTCCCAAGAAATTCGATATTCACAACGATGAAGTCCAAGAATGGGAAAATGGCACTTCGAAGTTCATAAAAAATACTTTTTATGTCCGTGTTGCATGAATTCTTTCAGAACAAAATGTGATTATATATCAGATCTAACTATTTCCGAAAAATCAGGTTGATGAAAAAAAGGCAACCATGAATTAATGATGGCAATTGAACTTATTTGTCTTCATATTTGGTCTGAAATCATATGTGTGAGTTTTAAGTCAAAGGAGTGCACAGCACGAATTATATTTGAAAACATAAACATGATTTCAGACTAAAATTGCAAGACACGAAGTTCAATAACTACTTAAAATCTTTGAAATCGCAAAATTCAGTCGCTCAGATAAAGGAGTTTTTAGTCTGTATGAATGTTTTGTTGACCCGGTAGTGAGCTGGTTTGTAGAAAATTGCAAAAGTTTTTTCTAATTTCCTTGCAATTTGATTGGTTTCTTTAAACAAGGACTTGGCTGTTGTATTTTAGTAAAGCTTCCTCATTGGCTCCGAAAAAATTGCTATTTCGAGCAAAAAATATTTACGCCATATTATCCAAGCAAACAAAATTTTGTATAGCTGGAATCTAAATTACTCGAGGAAAATG